ATGAACCTATTTGCTTTGAAAATATATGCATATGTATTTATAAATCAAAAGTCATGAAACCAGGCTGGCAATGCAGCTCAGTGGTAGAACACTTGCCTGGCATGCCTGAGGCCCTGGGTTCAATCCCCAGCACCACAAAAATAACACCAACAAAAAAGTCAGGAAACCATATATCCAAGATGTTAAACTCTGATGGTAGAATTATTAGTGATTTTCACTGCTTCTTTATTCCTTTCTGTGTTATCTGTTTTTGGTTTTTCATTAAGCAATGACTACTCTTAACACTGAGCCTCATTACTTCTAAAATCAGGAAAAAAAGTTTTTTGTTTTGCTTTCTTTTCTTTTTGGGAAAAAAAATATGTGTATAAAACAGAATTAACAGAGTACTCCTTAACACAAAACAATATGCATTTATAAGACAGCCAAATTTTTAAAGGTAAAAGTTTAAAAAGTTAATACAGAAAAGTGATTGAAAGACTGGGATTTCATTAAAGTCCTGGTTTCATCACTTACTGTCACTGGACAGTTGCATAGCCTTCCTCAATTTCCTCATTTATTCAATGTTCTACAACAAACCTATTGATCTGCAGAACTCCCCTAAATTTTTTTTTTACTTATCCATATAAACATATATTGTATATTATATATGAACATGTATATTTCTTTACAATAAATTTTATTAGAAAATCACATAATAGCAAGAATTAAGGTATGCCATGAGCCTGACCATACAGGTGACTATTATTGTTGGCAATATTAATTTTAAAAATATCCAGGTACAAGTAAAACACTAAGAGGAAAAAGTTTCTCAAAGAATGTAACTGGGAGCAAAGACATAACCAGTACCTCAGCTCATTCTACTCATCTGCAGAAATTTCCCAAACATTTCTGCAAGCTAGACATTCACTGTGGCAATTAAACATGCTATTGTTCACATGACCACAGCACTACTGAGAATCTTCCAGTGAACACAAATAGGAGCCACTTTTCATAATCAGCTTAAACTAGCTTTCAAATATTAATGCACATTTTTCCTTCTATGGGAATACAGATTACCTATGAATATAATGTCAACATAAATTAATACCAGCCATAAAATACATACTAAACTTATTTAAACCTCTAAGTTATAAATAAAACTTTTTAGAAAGCAGTTTTAAAAGAAACATATATTTTTAACTTTATTAAAATCTTGAGTTAGTATTCTAGCTCAATATTGTCCTCCCTCAGTAGGAGGGATATCAAAATCTGCAGATGGTCAAGTTCCTTATATAACATGGTATAGTATTTGCACACATCCTCTTATGTATTTTAAATATTTAGGTTACTTAAATACCTAATACAATGTAAATTCTATGCAAATAGTTGTTATATAGCTTAGGGAATAATGACAAGGAAAAAAATCTATACATGTTCAGTACAGAAACAATTTGTTATTTTAAAAAACATTTTTTTTGGCTGGGGATGTGGCTCAAGCGGTAACGTGCTTGCCTGGCATGCGCGGGACGCTGAGTTTGATCCTCAGCACCACATAAAATAAAAAGATGTTGTGTCCACCGAAAACTGAAAAATAAACACTAAAAAAATTCTCTCTCTCTCTTTTTATATATATATATATATATATATATATATATATATATATTTTTTTTTATCTAGGGTCAGCTCAATCTGTGGATATGGAACTACTGGATATGGAACCAGCAGATACAAAGGGTTGACTGTACTGATATTTTAAAATTACCCCAATTATAAAACTTATATATAGAAAACTACAATAGATTAATTCAATCACACTATGAATTTTTTAAAGGCCAAACAACCCAGGGTAGAAGAATAATTTTTACCTAACCTGATATATCAATATGGTCTAGGCAACAGATCAAAAATCGGGTAACTTAGTAAGATAATCAAACACAAAATAATATTGAATGATTATGCCAATTTCTTCTACACCAGAAATGTAAATTGTTCAGTCGGGGTCTGTTCAAGAAACTGATTTAAATAATATCTTTTAAAGTAACAAAAAAAGTAACTTTGCTCCAGTCTCAAAAACATATACATACTCCAGGAAATACACTCAGGTTGGTATATATATATATAAAAACCTAATGCCACAACCGTATGAAAACTTTATCTAATTTTTACTCCAAGTTTCTGGAAAGTAGTCATTACAAAGACCTATTCCAATGATGGTGACATTCTTCCTGCTAAACTGCCTTTAGAAGTGTGTGGTACATTTTTTTCAAATATGCTCAACTGCTACAAATTTTAACTTCTTGGAGAATGCGCTTCAGTTATGAGGAGACACCAAAGTCACTGAAAGATAGCTAAGTAGATCAAGCTAAATAAACTTTTGGTTATGAAAAAGAGAATGAAAAGAAAAGGGATTGATTATAAGGTACTATTGCAAAAGCAAAAACTATAAAATGGGAATTCTAAGCATTTTTGAGCAGCCACATTATCTCTGTGGTTCCGAGTTAACTCCCCAAAAAGAATTTTCTTTTTTCCTATTCCATGTTCTGTCCTGGCTGTTTTTTCTCCAAATTCTAAACAATAACTGAATAAGGGACCATACTGGCATCTCATACAGATTATCTCATTTAATCTATATGTCAACACTACTAGATAATATCATTTTACAAATGAAGAAACTGAGGCTGAATGTTTTGAATAACTTGCCTGATCCACACAGGTAATAAGGGACAAATTACTACCTCACGTTAAAATGTATATACATTTACCAAGTATACACTTATATTCCTGATTTTTTTTTTACGTTTCTGAACTCTGATCCCTTAGCTTGTTACTATAAGAGCGTTTGCCACATATTTTTTTTTCAGTTTAAAAATAAGAATTACATCTTCATATGTAGACCTTTGGTTGCTATTACAATCATTCACTTATTAACATTCCCTACTCAATTATAGCTTCCTGAGACAGTAGGCCATTCCATATTCATCTCTACAGTCCCAAAACACAGAAAGACGTAGCATACCTATGAATTCCTTGTTAGTAACCTAACTGTGGTGCCGAGGACTAGCTGCTGAAGTGTGGAGACTCTCTCTGTACCATTACTGGACACTTAGTTGTTCTCTCAGCTCCCAGATACCTGACCACCACCGTCACAGGGAGGGCTTAGGCAAAAAGAGTATTCAATATGACCAGTTCCTAGTTGTAGGGATATTCTTAATATCTTATAACCATGATATGTGATATATAGTTTTTCTTTAAGTTGAAGAACTACACTCAAATCAGTCAGCCTCTAACAGTTCAAACACATTATAAAAACCAAATTTCAGCACATTCATAAATAAGAACATACAGAGGAATAATGGAAAAATAGGAGAAATGTAAATCAACAAACAGTATAAAATAAAGCCTCCCCACAAGCTATCTTTTCATTATAATACAACTAGAGTTCTAAGGGGCAAGACCACACAATTTATGTTTTCCCACACATGAAACTAGAGCCAGTTGTTAATAGCACTTTGGGAATGTAACAGTATAATTACAAAATGACACAAGTTAATATTTAAGGAGACATCATGTCCTTCAAAAATAAAAGGAACAGTTGCAAGATTAAGTCTTTTTTTTTTTTTTTAACAATAAAGTTCTTAGAACTTAAAAGGAAATGGAAAAACAATGCAATCATAAAACTAGTTAATGAAATTACTGGAACTTTTTATTCTTTTAGGGGACGTTTTACCTAATAAATGTTAAAGCTGTGGTTTCAGTTTTCTTTCCATTTCTAAAAACTCTTAATTAATAGAGTCCTTTTCTACTAGTACTTACCTTTCTCTTTCTGTTCTTCCCATGCCCCACCCCAAACTTGATTTGGCTATTCTTTAATCTTTTAAAAAACAGGAGTAATAAATTCTCCAACTCTTGACAAAAGAGTTAAAATGACAGTACCATATGACTATCTGAACTCTTGAAAGGAGTATTAATCTTCTAGAATACCAATTTAATTCTTAGAAGCAGAAAATACAGGAAGCTTAATGTTCTAAGAAAAGTTAATAATAATTGATTCATTCTGGCTACTCAGGAAATACTCGGCAAGGATCTGTGTTCTATGCAGAGACTGACAACAAATCTATCTAGTAATAGCTATCACACAGGGACAAGGGAAATAGAAAAGAGCTCATGGAGTAAATGCACAATGACTAAAAAGTACAGGAAGAAAATATTAATTTGGTGCTGAGAAGCAACAGAGCTAGATGACACAGAGGACAGATCAGTAAGCTACACAGACAGAAATAAATCCAAGACTGAGGTGCTAGAGGAAATGGACCATCACAGGGGATGAGAGTAAAGTACAAGTGGACAAGAGGTAAAACAGGCAGGAGCCAAGGATGACAGGTGCTGAGTTATAAGAGATAACACAAAAGACTGAAAGTAGCAGATGGGGAAGGAGGTATACTCATCTTAAGAAAGGGTAAAGAGAAAACATTTTCAATGGGAGGCTAAATTGTGGAAGTAGGCAAATAACAAAGAAATCAATCAAGAAATTCTAGACAGAAGAGGGTAAAAATGTGGAAGTGGGACAAAGTAGTAAGTAGATAGGACAGAAGATGAAAGAATTAAAAGAATGAAGTAACAAAAACAGGCCTAATGGGGAAGGAAATAGTAAAGCTAAACAAATGCCTTATGGAATTTTGCTTCATTAAATTTTGTTCTTTTTCTTCCTATTGGGTAAAACTTGATTCACAAGAGCAAAAACTTTCCTTAATTTATAGAAGAGAAAATTATTGATACTCATCATCAATTATAGGGGCATAACAAGTAAAAAAAAGAAGACAATATAATTTATATCAAGTATTGTTAACGCTAGCCAACAACCTAATTGTATCTATACATTAATGACCTTACTGACGACTGTTTCATTTAGTTAGAAAAGCTTTCTTTCTCTTTCTGTGCATTTGGAGAAATCCCTGTTCCTTACTGCCTCCATCAACACACAAAAGGCAAGGGTAAGAAGGTAACACATCAACATCACTAAAAGAAGTTTGATGGAAATTTAATACAAGGGTTAAAATATTTCACTTGCTTTAAATTTTTACCACTCATTATTCTGGTTTTCCAGACAGATACTGCAAAACAGAAATCACCTTTCATTTCCATTTAGAAAATAAGAGCAACAACAAAACACTGAATGAGAACATAAAAATAGAAAAGAGCAAAGCTGAAAAGAATGGAAATTATTCTATTCTTGAACCTGAAAAATAATTGGGGTAGAATAGCAACCAAAGGTTTACATATGAAGATGTAATTCTTATTTTTAAACTGAAAAAAAAAATATGATAATCAGACCATCTGTGCCAAAAACTTTTTCAAGAAAAAAACAGGCATCTACAAAGGCTCGGAGAAGATAAAAAAAGATGAAACTAAAGTCATAATGAATATGAACAAGAAGCAGCACATCATTATATAAAGAAACAATTTATCCACACTTCACACCCTTTAGTGACTATTTGATAAAAGTCAATTTCAGAAGGGCCTAAATTCCACCAAATGGTTCCTATTTCCCCTAATGTCATTTCTCTATCTACACAGGAAAAAAAACAAAAACAAAAACAAATCTCTGATCATAAGCAAATTACCAGCTATTACCTAATGGAAAATAATACACAAAAAGTGTTAACAAAGATAATGTAAGACACACATAAAGAAATGTGCTAGAATCTTGTCATTCCTATTTTCAGAACTATCTTCTTTCAGCTGCTCAAAAATCCTAAATGGTATTGGAGTTGCTTCTTGAAATGTAATTCTTCAGTTTTTTTACCATATTCTTCCACAAATATTTTAATGAGTCACTGGGCCATTCAGTCCACTCACAGGCATCTGACACATAATTTACTTCTGGAAATGGCTGCCACTCCAACAGGCTTTGGAAGGCTTCTTGAAGAAATAAAGTTGGTCTGTTGGTCTCTATTGAGGACATGCTGAAACTAGGATTATCTCTCATATTCAAAGATGACAAAGAAGCCAATCGTACTCTGTTTCCAAGGTAAGATGCCTTAAAAAAAGAAAGAGTTAAAAATCAACCAGATTAAAAAAAATTCTAATAATGCCATGCAAACTCTTACACAACATTATATTTTAGGTGATTAAAAAGTAAATAATTCCCAACAAGAAATTTTAATGTTTCACTTCAGCTTTAAAAATACAATTAGGGAAAAAAAAAAACTTTTTAAAGGGTACCACAGGATAGACAGTCAAAATATTATAAATAATCAATAATTCCTGAAAATAATAATAAAAAAAAGCACTGGTTACACTGGATGGAAATTCTGGTGATAGCCTTTTCAATCTTTACGATGGCCTGATCAGAAGACAAGATTTTGACAAAATACTACTTTTCTGCCTTTGTATATTAGTTGGACATAGTATGCCCAAGCGTGCTTTATATTCGGCTGTAAAATGAGCTATGGAATTGATGACCTGAAAAGTAGGCAATTTGGCTCTTCAGAGCCAAAATTCTGGAATTAAGTACTATCTAGCCATAAAATTTTGGTACAAATGAACTAGCTCTAGGTAAGTCATTTAACTCTGCCCTGATTGTCTTATCTATAAAATACAGGGCTAGTTCTTTTTACAGGCAGGAGAGGCACTAGAATCACCTCAAGATGGTTTACAGACACACAGGTCCGATGCAGCCTTACTGAATCTGAATCTCTGAGGTAAAGCAAAGAGACTTGTAAATTTTATAATAAATCCTGGGTCACTATGATGTACACTCCTGGCTAATATACTAGCTATGTTTAGGATCCAGTTCTAGAACCTAAAATTCATAAAATGGGATAGTAAAGATTTCATGAAATTATCCTAGTATCATTAAAGGGAGAGACTGAAAAATCAAGTCTTATGTGCCAAAACTGGATGAATACTTCCATACAGATTATTTTAACTCAATTTTTCCAAATTAGTTCCTCAGATATTAAAACAGAACACAAACTTTGGGGCAGTATTTTATAATAACTTGCTTCTACGTAAGCCATCACATGTTAAAATGATAGCAGCATGTCAGTTCTTCACTGTCTCAAATTATGAAGCAACCCCCAAGAACAAATGACATAACATCCTTCCCAGTAGAAATGATTTATAGTACAGAGTACTATACCTGCAAAGTGTGTGTCCACCCTGGCTGCTAACCAGGTTTGTGGCCCATGCTTCATTCAAGGGCACTTCCTCCTCTGATTCCTGGACAGCGGTGGGGTGATGTGTGCACTTCCCTAACTGTGGAGTCATTTAGATTCAGTGATTGCTGATGCCCGATGTCCCCCAAATTATATTGTCAGTTCCAATAAAAGGAATATGTAATTGGACTTTCAGAGAATATAATTTTTTCTTCATCTTGCTGGGTTTTGTTTGCAGCCCTCATCTAATTGCACATGGCTTCCAACTGACTTTACTCCAGGCCTGTCACCAAATCAACAGCACAATTTTACATTTTTTTGCACCAAAAAAAAAAAAAATATATTACATGGTTAGAAGTCTACTAACCAATAGTGTTCTCTATTATAGCTCAATACAAGCTGAAAGAGTTGATCAAAATTCCATGAAAGGACAAAGCAAATGGACAAAAAAGGAAACCATCAGTAACACCCACATCATGATAAATTATTAAGATTTTAAATCCAGTAAATGTTTAAAGAAAAAAAAAAGGCAGTAAGATATCAAATGTTGCCTAGTATTATTTTATTTGGCATAAGTTTTTCAACACTACATTTCTAACAAAGTCATTGTCCTAGGTTCTGGTGAATCATTATTCTAGAATTCAATAGCTGTAAAGAATTCAATTCCTTACTCAGCTTTGAGATACAAAATTCTCTGCCTGTCTTTAGTCATTTCCACACACAGTGTTCCCTTGACCAATTCATCATCAACCTCTTCTATATGGAAAATTTAGCATTGTTTCTTCAGCCCAGAGGCAGCCCAGAGCCACTGCAATCTTTTACGCTACCTTGAAATTTTAAAAAGAGAATCTTTTACAGCTGCAAAATAGTGAAACTTTTAGATTTCCCTCTTTGACGTATAAAGTAAAACATTCCAGAGAAGCCATGAGAACTCTGAAGAGCCAAACTGCCTACTTATTACTTACATCATGATCTTGAGCTAGAAACAATTACTTTGCTGTGCCTCTGTCTCCTCATTTGAAAAACAGGGTCATGATTATACCTACTTCAAAGAATTGCTGTAAGATTCAAACAAATGAACATGTAAAGGGATTGGGGCAGTAGCTGGCACATTTTAAGCACTACATAAATGTTTGCTATTACTGCTTTATTTAGCTCCAAATTCTCATACTGCTTCATATGTGCATACAAGGTTTAGCCAACTAACAATGCCTATGCTTTTGAATATCTTTGATGTTTTCCCATGGTAACTAATATTCATTCAATAAGTACACACAAACCTACTCTCTCTATATATATTATACTGGATACCAAGGCAGTTCTCAAAAATGGGACTGTATAGATAAATACTCCTTGGCCTTGGGGAGCTTCTATTTTGGGTGAGGAAACAAACTATATGAAATACTTCCATAACAATACAACATCAAGTAAGATATTACATGCCAAAGAGTGTGGTATAAACAGATAACATTCAAAGAGCTCAAGGTGGGCTGCCGACTTGGCAGAAAAGGTAAGGCTGGAGAGGTCCTACAACAAAAGGTATGCAGGACCTTCACTAAAAGGAAGAGTATCCCAGTGTACTATTCTTACCAGAAATATTTAACTCGCATCCTGCATAAGTCAAGCTCTGTTCTAGGGCCTTGGGATAAGGCAATACGAAAGACAGAAAAAAAAATTATCTGCATTCTGGGAGCTTAAAGGGCACTCCATAGGAGAGCCAAGTTTTGCTCTGATTTGTTTTTTCTGGTGCTGGGAATGGCAACAAGAGCTTTACCACAGAGCTACATCCCCAGCCTGAGGCAAGTTTTGAAATGAGAAATGAGAAGGGTTTGTCTTCCTATCACAGGAAACACAGCATCACTTAAATGCCTTGTGGACAGGAGCCCATATTTTTACTAAGTCATTAAGACTTTCCAACAGTGACAAACATAAATGGTTGTTGTTAAGAATTCAGTAATTTTTCACATACTTTAATACACTATACTCTAAATCTGTTCCATTGTTTATAAAGCACACTAAGGACATATTCTCCATATTTCTTAATACAAATAACAAAAGAAATTTACAAACATATATAATTATTACCAGGATAGATTTTGTTAACAGTTCCTAAATTTTTCCCAAAGAAAGCCTCATAATGCTTTGCTTGTATACTTTTCTGCTTTAGAGTATTCCTTACCTCCATTTTTTCCCTTTATTTAACTTCATCTACCAGAGACATGCCCACAAATATCAAAGCTGGGATAGTGCCTATAGTAGCATGTGGTGGCAACAATCCCAAAGGTTAAGGATTCACTCCAAAAGAAAATATGTGCATCTTTTTCTTCTTAAATCAATCCATGGATGACAACTACCCATTCATTCCCTTCCCAAAGATAATGCCTTCAGTAAAGAACCCTGTTAGAAACACTGACTGACAAAGATTTCTCAGTCTTTTCCTCTTTCCAATGATGGACCACTAGAATCTTTTGATAGGAAGTTCCAATATGCTTTAATCACAAATACACACTTCTCCAACTCTCCAAACCTTCCAATAACATCTACTCTCACAATATGCAAACTGTTAGACCCCACTCTCATTCTCAGGATTTTGGAACTGTCATTCCTATAAAAATTATCAAAACTGCTAAAACTATTTAATTAAATCCAATCAAAACCTAATTTCTTAATGCACAAAGTACTAGCCTCAATAGTGAATGTTTAAGATAGTTAAAGGCAAGCTAAAAATCAGGCACATAAATCTTTCACAACTACCTACACTGCAGATTAATCTAAGTCCTAACATTATATGCCAAATGAAATTGTGCAAGACTCCAACAAAGTAATAGCCAGATCACTGTTTCTTTACTTTGGTATTGGAAAATTAGTCTTCAGGCTTCATTATGTCATTTGTTTACTCTTAATTAAGAATGCCACTTAGAAATTAGATGTGAAAAGAAGAGGCCATAAAGGCTTTCCTAAAATTTACCTTTTTTCCATGTCAGTGCATAGTCTGTTCATTGGGTGATATTATATAATAGGAACTTGGATTATAAGAGATGTGCTTTGGAAATTACTGAATACCCAAATAAAAGGATTAATTTCAGTCCTATGAATTTTTAAAGCCAATTTTTAAAAACACATTAATTTACTCTGATCCTTTTTATATTGCCAGCACTCTTATTTTACAAAAGTAGATATAAACCTCTCATGTACATATTTCACATATGGACACATTCTAATCAAACTCATGTATTCAAATATTTGGAGCAACCTATGCTTTTGTTTAAAAAAAAAATTATCCCTGAGATAAAGCATCTAGACCTCTTGGCTCAGTATGCAACACTGCCTATTATTGTTTCTCATTTTCCAATTTTATAGTCAAACTAAGTGGTTACAAACTAATAAATACTAATATAAATAAAGCTGTTATGCTATTGTACCAAGTAACAGTCTTAATCTTGTCAGAGGCGAGCTTAATTGTAGCAGAAGCTCCACAAAGGCCAGAAGAATATAACCTCTACAACCTCAACATAGTTTTGTACGAATTATAATTAGCAGTCAGCTGATCTGAAGAACTTGCTCAAAAACGACTTCAAGCACGTGGGCAAGTGGCCCTTTATTTTCAAGGCTGCACCAACCTCTGAAATCTGATCACTCCAATACTGATTCTGAAATTCTACATGAATTCATTGCCTGTCTCATGTTGGAAAACACGTTTTTCAAGTCACTACACCTTTTTCCCCCTAAATGCAGCAGTCATTTAAGCTAACAATCCTAACTCTACAGCATCCTGGCCACATCAAGTTTTTCAAACATTCCAACTGTCTCAGGCACGCACCGTTTACTATGATCTGGGTAAAAGGAAAGGTAGTGTGGATAGCACACGCTTCTTCTGAAAGAGTACACGTAAATATTAAAGTAACCCTACGGTCTCTTGGGGAAAAAGAAAACCTCCGAGTGCCCCATCTTAACCTCGGCTCCCTGGACAATGCACCTTGCCCCCTCCCACGCCCAGTCCCGCGGGGCGCCAAGGCTGGCGGAAAGCTGCGCGGAACTCCCGGTGATAACCCGTCCCTGCTACTTCCCGCCCGATTTTAGCGAAGGCGCGGCACAGCACACGACGACCAGATCCACGCGGACGAACAGGCGCGGAGCCCAAACCCACCGCCGCGGGGCCCTAGCGCCGGGCCGGGGCGCGCGGAGCTAGGGGCACTGAGGGAGGGGCCCGCGGGGCGCGGCAACGCCGCGGGGGTGGGAAGGGCGCTTGGCTCCACTCACGCGCCCGGGGGCGGCACCGGGGCCATCGCTGCGGATCTCGCCTTCAAAAACTGAAAAGGGGAAAGGCTTTAAAAAAAAAAAAAAAAAAGACCTGGCTCCTCGTTTCATCCGGAAACCGACAGGCCGGCAGGAAATGACGAAGGCAGAGGTCGTCCGGGTCCGCTCGGTAACCGGTCCCGCGCGCCCGCCGACTCCGGGGAGGAGAGCCCCGAGCGGAGCAGCGCCGGCCTCGTGCCGCCTCCAGAGCGAGCCGCGTGAGTGGCCCCGCGTCCCCGCGCTCCCGGTCCCGGCGGTCGCGTCACCGGCCCCGCCCTGCCGCGCCGCCCCGCCCCGCCCCGCCTGGCTGCGGCCGAGGGCAGCATCGCGCCCGCCGGGCTCCGAGCACCTGCCTCGCCCTGCTCGGGCCTGGGCGGAATAGGGGACTCTGATGCTCTGGGTTCCAGGAGCGCAGGCAGGAAAGATGAACAACCAGTCTGTAACGTCTCGTGGGGCGAGACGGCCCGGGGCAGCAGGGGTTTCGCAGGAGTGTTTTGAGATGGAATCTCTCGCAGCCTGCCCGCGAGCGGCGGAAACAGTAAAAAGATCCCGGGACATTCTGGAGGTCCCTGCCGGCGGCCCCCTTCTGGGATAGGATCTTTTTTTTTTTTTTTTTGAACCCACGGGACTTGATTTTCTTCCGCGAAGACCAGATCTCCTACGATCCAGGTCGCGGCTGGAAGAGTTCAGGTTTGGGCATCAGATGTGTTTGACAGCCCTATCCAGTGTGGCTTTGTGCAAGTTACATAACCGACCACCGCCACCTGTTACCACCCTAGTTTCCTATTCTGTAAAATGGAGCTTTAGTGCCTCCCTGTAGGGTTCTTGCGAAAATTAAATGTGGACTGCCCAGTACAGAAGGCATCAGATATTAATTATCTTCCTCCTGTAGGGGCGAAGGCCTATAAGCCTGCTTCCTTCTGCTTTCAGAACCCAAATCTTTAGTAAAAGATTTCTACTGTATTTATGCAGTGGATTTTGTTTGTAGAAACTGATTCTAATCTGAATGTCAAGCATTAAAAGAACAAGGTTCTAAGTGAGAAACAAAAATTATAACATTCTAGGCAGAATAAGTGAGGGTAGAACAACCTGGATATTGTATATGTCCAAAGTAAGGACTCTAATTTTAAAATTTATGATACAATCACTTGATCCCCAGAAAAGGTCTCAACGTTAAAACCAAGTCCTAGTTGTCATGTTTTGGGCAGCTTTATCTGGATATGCTTGTTTCCCTGGGACTTAATTCAGCTCTTCCTACTGAAATAGTTCAACCATTACATCACGGGATAAATGTGAAAAAAAGGTCAGTTTTCTCAAAAGAGCCCTGAATGGCACTCTAGGCACATGACAAGCTATGTTGGTAATCTTGCCCAAACATTAACTTACCAGGAATGAACCATTGAAATACCCCTAGGCATTTTACTTCAGATTCAGAGGAAGGCTGTGGTAGCATGCATTAATCACTCACAGGTGTATGTGTGTACACTTGGTCAGACTGAGCACGGTATGCTGGGAGGGGATGATCAAAGTTCAGACCACATGTGGGCCTTGGGTCTGTACTATGACTCTGAACTAGACCATTTCTTATTCCTGGCAGTCTTACAAAGCATACCATTGGTTATGATTGAGGACTGGGCAGGAAAGTCCTACCCTCAGTGCAAATCTTTCACAACTACACTAAAAATAACTCAAGTGCATGTCCCTGGAACCATGGAATAGTGTCATTGCATACCAATGATGTTGTACAATATGTGTTTTATAGTTCACAATAAAGTTTTACCATTCTGGGCCAGCAGTAATTAGAAATAGTCTTCTAAATATAATTAAGGGATTGCATATTTATAGCAAGAGGAAATCAAGCTTTGGGTAACAATATACCACTTACTGAGTGGCACAGGAACAGAATTTTGTAAAAGTTGAAACAAGAAATTAACCTGGTTTATTCAGGCATTAGAAAATAGGTAGGAGATACTCTCTCAGTTTGTCAGATAAAGAGCACCTGCAAAATGTCCTAGTAGCCACTGCTCTATTGTTCCCTGTTTTTCCCCCAGTTTGTTAATATCTTCCAATCCTGAAAGTTACCACCCTTGCTGAATAACTGTTTGGCCCTTCTGTGACCTCTCAAATCAGATACTTAAACTCATTTCTTTTTGCCTAACATGGTCATTGTTGTTATTTAAACATTTTGGCACCAACAATGGTTGAGATTCCATAAATTACAAAAACAATTATAGCATCTGGTCTTCCAGAAGTCTCCATCTCTAAAGTAGGCCAGTTACTTACTATAAATCATGTTAAATTCAAAGAACTTCTGGAGTTCAGTTTAGAGAATAAGAATTAAAAATGAGAATATGCCAGTACCCCTATATCATCCACTTTCAAAAGCAAATGAAAAGTTCATACTCATTAACATCTAGGAATTGTGTATAATCTAAAGTTTAATTAAGTAGTATTTCTATCTTATACCTATAAATTTGTTTAACATAAGTTCTGTTTTTATTGTTCAATAGCTAATTTTCACAAAACGAATTGAATGTTCATCAGACATCAGTAGATGTTTTAGAGAAATTACTTTGGCCCTCATTGTTGGGAGTTTAAATTAAATGACTTCACGAAATCCACTTTATTCTCAATGAATTACAGTATATCCCCAAACATCTGACAAAGGGTCAGAAGGGAGAAAACATGTCACCTATTTAAGAAGCAGACCTCTTCTGAAGTTTCATTCATTTTATATAGAAGCAAGAGAGAAGAAAGAAAACCAACTGTGCCCTCAGTACATAGTTATTCATTTTACTGAACCAAATATAGATTAATGAACATTTGGGTGACTTACAGGGTGGAAGAATTTCTGCAATGCCTTCATTGTTGTAGGCAGCCTCAAAAAAAAAAAAAAATTGCAAAACAATTTGGACATTCCAGATACTCTTTTTCTTGGTATTAAAAAATGGCTGGCTGTCTTATTCTTAGAAACTACAGTACAGTTATCACCTCTCATTTGTTCTGTTTTTCTCCTTTTTTATAGAGTGGCCAAAACAACACTTCTCGATTCCTTTCACATATTAGATCATTTTACTTAAATCCAACACAAGGGAGAAATATCCTCTTTAAGAAAAATTCAGTTAACTTCCCACATATAAGAAACCATTACTCTTTTACTTGAGATTTGATACACTTTCAATTACCACTCTTATTTTGTGTGGGAATGTCCAAAGAATGCATTTCCTTCAAAAGAAGTCACAGCTGTATAAATAGCAAAAAGTAACTTTTTATCCCATAGCTTCTTTAAGCCAAATTGGGCCTGAAGGACAAAAGTAGATAAACTCCAAACTTGCATTTTGGGACACATGTGGAAGAGCACTTTTCCTAGGCTGTTGTCAGGAGTGGGACAGCTCAGCATCGTAAGTGGGTTACTTGGCACTGTGTTTTAAAGTATTCTGTTGCTTTCATGTGGATGATGGTTACAATTTGGAAACTGTAATGACGTTTCAACTTACATTCTTTTAGTAATTTTTTTTTTTTTTTAAGTACTGGGATGAACCTATTGGTTCTCTATCACTGAGCTAATCCTTTGCCCTCTTTATTTTATTTATTTATTTATTTATTTATTTATTTATTTTTATTTTGGTACAGGGACTTGCTCAGTTGCTCCGGCTGGCCTTGAACTTGCTATCCTCCTGCATCAGCCTCCCAAGTCACTAGGATTATAGGTAAGTGCCCCATGCCCAGCCACTTAGTAACAGGTTTTATCCTGCATTGTACCCTTTAGGTAGCAGCTGTAATGTTTCAAAATCAAGTAAGGAGAAATGTATTAGTTGCCTTAATCATCTAGTCAGGGAGTCAATAGACTTTTCCTTAAAGAGCCAGACCAAAAATATTTAGGCTTGTGGACTGTAAGACAAATTGAGGATAGTATATAGGTACTTGTAATCATTTAAAGTGTATCCATTTAGGGATGGGGCATACATTGCTTGGTGGCAGACAGTGTTCTTAGTATGTTTTGGTTTAATTCCTGACTTAGTATGGGTTTGATTCCTGACTCAAAAAATAAAAATAAATAAGTAATATATAGTAGAATTGCAAACTCATTCTTGTCTTGAGGGTTATACAAAAACAGATGATGGACTGGATTTAACCAGCAGGTCCTATGGACACCAACCCTATTTTCTTTTCTCTTTTATAGCCCCATGGCTGGAAGTTACGGAGTGATGGGTGATGATGGTTCTATTGATTACACTGTTCATGAAGCCTGGAATGAAGCCACCAATGTTTACTTGATAGTGATCCTTGTTAGCTTTGGTCTCTTCATGTATGCCAAGAGGTAAATCTGTTAGCATCTCAAAACAAATAAGAAACTGGACATTTGAAGATTTTGCGGGATTTTTGTTTTAAAAATTTGAATTGAATACATAAAAATAATTTCATCAGAATTTGTATTCCTCCTCTGACATATGCTATTGATTCTCTGGTCACAAGCATAGGTGACTGAGGTATTGCTTTGAAAACCCCATTGCTTTAAGAGGTGAAGATTTAAGTACAGCTCTTGACATCCAAGTCAGCTACTCTAAACTTTCATTTCTGTCACTTCTACTGTTGCCTAATTTTCATCATGAGCCTGGGTTCTTTGTCACTCTTTAATGAGCACATTTTTTGGCCCAAGTCCCTGAAATATAGAAACTGCTATGTATTCAGTAGATCTCTCTTTGCCCAGTTAAAGCTTTTCCTTGTTTCTTGTGCATGATACTCTCATGGCATTTTAAACAATATTTGTCTTGTCTGGTTACTGATCTCTTCATTTCACAAAAACTTCAGTCCCTCAGAACAAGGTACTTGTTTTTTACCTTTGGATCTTTTACCTTTATGTGTCACATAGTGTAAATCCTCAATAAATATTTCCTGCCTTAATTCCAGATGTCATAGCCTAATATAGCTGTCTTTTTTTATACTCCTTGGTGCTTTTTCCCTTAGAAGAGTAAAAATAAATAAACAAGGAGGAGGTTGGATTTAAGGAGGAAAAGCTGGGCTGTAGATATAGTTCAGTGGTAGAGCGCTTGCCTAGTGTACATAGGCCTTGTTCTCAATCTTCTGCACCTAAAAACAAAAACAAAAAAAAAAGGAAAAGCAGTATTAATTCTGAGTAGTATCTCCTTATACCCACATGCTTCTGGTGTCCTCTACCAAGATAAAAAACAGAAGCCATTAAATAGTTCAAAATAATTAGTATTCCAGAGATTATTTATTTTTGGCCTGGGGATGGTTCAGAGCCCACACTTGCTCTCAGATACATATGCTTATCCTTCCTGGCCATGTGGCTCTCCTGGAGCAGCTGGACTGTTGGCTGCTGGGACTGCAGGTGGTGGGTGGGAGAAGGCTCCACATGTCACCACTGATCTACTTGTAGGTAATAGTTTCCTCTAAAAAGAGCCATCACCTCCTCCCCACTTTTCTTTTAAAATCAGAGGCATACTGTTCCTGTTTTTAAAAAGTTGTCCTCACTAAGGCCATGTTATTATATTTAAGAAATATTTCAATTCATAATTTCACAACTTAAGTTCTGCTCACATTCAGTGTATTCTCCAATCCAGTAGTTCAACTTCATTTGGATGACATGAGAGGGAGAAAAATAAGGTGTTTTTTGTTGGTAGATTTTTTTTTCACATAATATTTGGCTTTTTTAGGAATTGAGAATCGCAATGGAGGCAATTTACTTTGTATAGTAAATGAATGTTTTTAGCATTTCTTTTCTCTTATAGCCACATAGCTGTACATGTACAGCTACAAGCTTTTTAATGAAAGAAAGAGTACATGAGCCAAAGAATCATATCCTAAAGACAAATTAGAATAGCATGGACTTATCCTTTAAGTCTTTTAATGCGGCATCTAATTACCAGGATCATGAGAATATTACAATCCTATAGACACTCGTACAAATCTCTTTTCTGCGCTGTTTTTGTATTTTAGGAATAAAAGGAAAATTATGAGGATATTCAGTGTGCCACCTACTGAAGAAACGTCAGAGCCCAACTTTTATGACACAATGAGCAAAATTCGCTTAAGACAACAGCTGGAAATGTATTCCATTTGTAAGTAGTTCTGTGTTGAACTGTATCCGCATGCATATTTAAATTTTCTGGAATTGAGTCCAAGGTTATGAACAATAGTTAGTATTAAAAACTTAGCACTTTTTTTCAGATGTTTAACATAGTTTCAGAAAAGGGACATTTTCTATGAAGCTACCAGACCTTTTGCTTGCACAGAGCACTTTCCAAGACCATGAGAATTGTCTTAGGGATGTTTTTACATGATCATATTTTTATAAATTTGGGGAAAAAAATTAAGATTCTAGCCATCATTTGAGCCTGCTCTCTCTTCTTCTAACTTTTTTTCCTTGGACTTCCTTTCATATGGAGTGGCATTGAAGTGGCCAAGAATATTTTGGGGATCTGGCTAAAAGGAATTTGAGTTGGAGATATATTAAGTTTGGTTTGAAGTATGTATTTATAGAGTTTGTAGTCACTTATATTATAATTACTGCAAGTCAAAGTAGTAAAGAGATGGCTTCTAGGAGGATGACATGTGACATCAGAGTGTTAGGTCAGGGGGTTATATCTCAAAGTTAATATGTCCTATATTACTGAGCACTGCAAATATGTAAGCAGCAGAGAATAACAAAGTTTAAAATGTATGGGCCCTTGAGCTGGGCATGGTGGTGCATGCCCATAACCCCAGCTACTAAGGAGGATCACAAGTTTGAGGTCAGCCTAGGCAACTTAGTGGGACCCTATCTCAAAAAAGAAAAAAATGTATTGGTCCAGAGTGAATTGTACATGTAAACCATAACCTTTTATGCCTCCATTTAAAAGAATAAGGTATGATTTGCATGGTTAGTGAGAAAAGCAAGAAGTATATGATGCTACAGTTATAAAATCAAATGATCAGAACAGCCTTCTTTTTTAAAATGTCCATGTGATATAAATGCTCTGTATAATTATATAAGCATCAAGGGAGACATGGAAAGATGTACAACAGGTAATTGACATTTATTGCTTTGATGAGAGCTGTGTAGGGGTTAAGGAAAAAGGACTGGACAATTTTGAAGAGAAATGTTCACAGTAAAAACTGAAATGTGTGTGCACATGTGTTATCAGTACAAAATAAGAAACAAAACTTAATTTAACACAGCAGTATTATTCATAATAGCCAAAAGGTGGAAACAACTCAGATGTCCTTATCAGATGAGTAGAAAAGAAGAATATGCTACATATACACAATAGAATGTTGTTATGCTTTTAAAAGGAAGGCAGTTCTGACCCATGGTACAATATGGATGAAGCTTGAAGATGTTATGCTAAGTAAAATAAGCCAGTCACAAAAAGGACAGACACTATGTTCACTTACATGAGGAAAAAAAAAAAAAAAAAAAAAGTAGAAAGGTGGTTGCCAGGGTGTGTAGAGAGCTTTTTTAAATGGGTGCAGAACTCAGTTTAGAATGATGAAGAGTTCTATGGATGGATGGTGGTGATGTTTGCACAACAGCATGAATGTTAATGCCACTGAATTGTGCATCTAAAAATGTTTAAAATATCAAATTTTATATTATATATATATTTTAAAGAAATCCTTTTAAAAATATTTTTTAAAATATAGAAAGTCAGAAGCTCTATGTAGAAAATTATAAGTAAAGAACTAAGTTTTCACTGATACTCAAAACAAGTTCTCTTGCGAGTAGTATACTGTAACATAGCAGGTACAATTATAAGCTCACTGTACCATTTTTTTTCTTTTTTGATGTGAATGACATAAAATTTATGAGAATTCCTATTTGCAGAATATATTAGTTTTCTTTTGCTGCTGTAGCAAGTTACCACAAAATTAGTGATTTAAAATGATACAAATGCATTATCTATCAGTTTTGTAGGTTAGAAGTCATACAACAGTCTTGCTGGGCTGAAAGGAAAGTGTAGGCAGGTTTCCATTTTCCTGGAGGATCTAAGGGAAAATCTGTTGCCTAGCCCTTTCCAGCTCCTAAAGACTGCCTACATTCCTTGGTCGATGGCCCCATTCCTTCATTTTATAAGCCAAACACATTGCATCTGTCTGACTGTTCTTCCACACTTATATTTCCCTCTGTGAATCCAGGAAAGGTTTTCTGATTCTAAGGGCCCATGTGATTATACTGGGCCCAATAATCCAGGTTAATCTCCCCATCACCTCAGTTACATCTTCAAAGTCTCTTTTGTAACATAGTCACAGATTATGGGGATTAGAATGTGGATATTTTGGGGTGGCATTATTCAAGAATATATATGGTGTGGATTTGCATATTTAAGAATCCCAACATAATCATAATGGATCATTCTTATATTGATAACTTATGTTATCAGTCTTAGGCTTCTAAGTTAATGTATTCAAATTTCTTATAGTGCAGACAAAAGCATTATTATTAACTTAAGGTGGAAATAAAGGATAAGAAAGGAAATTGCAAATCATTAATAGCTTAATAAATATTTACCCTATATTTTAAAGATCTGAATAATCCTGATATGTAATAATAATAAACGTAAAAGTGGATTGAGCAATGTTGAGAATTCAGAAGATCAGAATGTGTAATGTTTCCTCTAAAGAATAAAATTGCCTAATTCTTAACTGTTTTTTTTTTTTTTTTAACTGAGACTCATTACAACAATTTAATGATGTTAGGTAGTAATTATTTTGCATTTTTATTAATTTATCTTTTTCTTTTTTTAATAGCAAGGAAGTATGATCACCAGCAGCCACAAAACCAAACTGACAGTGTGCAGCTCTCATTGGAATGAGATCTCAGAAAACAAGCAACAGAAGTAATTGTTATTAAACAGTATAGTAGCAACTTCTGATTCTTTCCGCTAAATCATAAATAGAATTTTAAAAAATTTCTGTCTGTATATACAAAATCATTTTATTTGTGATTTTTTCCCATCTTTTTTGTATTGTTTAGCTTTTTAAAATTGCTTCTCCTAGTCATTTGGTACACATTCATAGGACTCAAAAGGCCTGAACACACAGAGCCTATAAATACCCAGAAAGATACAGTTAACCAGAGATGGGGACTTTACCTTGCAGGGAATCTTTGATTTTTTTCAGGATACAGTCAGTGAGAAATAAATCTTTGGAAGTTAAATTTCTGGAGATTATGCCACCTTCATTATGATATTTTTCCAAAATAAAAAATCTAGTCAGTAGAATAAGTTCCTTTAAGATTTTCTAATTTAAGTGTAATATCAGTAATAGACTAACTTGTGTTCTCATTACTGTTAATGACTCTAATTAGAGATCTTTGCTTCTTCAGAACTTGTACACCTAGACCATCTTTTCTATTATGATGCATACCCATCCACTAATTTTAGAAATTTTTCATAACTGAATTTTACCCCTTAATTGTGTTCCAGGAGTTTTTGTTTATTTGTTTAGTTGTTGTTTTGGTTTGGAACATCATGGGCTTTCTTTAGGCCCTACTGGGGTCGTCTGTTGGAAAAATGGATACCTCTACATGGGTATTGGAAACTTCCTTTTCAGTCATATCATTATCACTTGTAGTGTTACTCTCTGGTTTCTTTGGCTTTTTTAGCATAATAACCTTTTCTGAAGATCCTCCTCTCTTGTTCTATTTTATACTATAGAATGAAATGTTTTTACCTAATTTTTCATATTTATTTAAATAAAACTTGTTGGAAATAGTGGTAGGGAAGTTCAACTGTTCAATTCTTACTCAAAGAATCAGTTTTGAATTAAAGCTATTAATTTTAAGAGCTAATAGTAACTTCAATTTTTATTTCCTTTTTATTGTGAAATTAAAGAATATAAGTTTAATATGAAAATTAAAGTTTAGACAAAATAAAACTAGGGTTATTGCATTTACTTTTAAATTTTGATTATATCATTCAAAAATGTATATATTGTACATAGTGCATTTTTGACCAAATGGAATAATTCTTTCTTAATTCACAAAAGAATCTGGATGTACCCCTATATAGAGAATTAAAAGGTGACTCAAGGATTATAAATGGTTTTAAATATGGGCTGGGGTAGCAGACAGGCAAAGGGACAATCTTAATTTTTGCTTTGCCTTAGGATAACCCCTGTTTGTTTTCATGAGCAGAAAATTTAGTCTGGGGAACAATCTAGGCAGATTACAGAATTAAGAATTTAATTGCGGCACAATCTGAGCAAATCATAAAAACTGGCTATCTCAGATGGTTTATAAATTAATGTCTACAAATAAATATAAATGTAAATCACACAATGAAATCAGTTGTTTTATTTGTGTCCAGTAGATACAGTCAAAAACTGGTAGATTGTTGAGCATCAAACCTTGGCAAGTGACAGAGGATGAAATTCCTCCTCATTTTCTCCTTATAGCTAAGTGATGGGAATTGCACACACCCCACTGGCAGAAACAACAGCAAGTTGAGCTTTGAAGTTTCTTTCCTGCTTCAACAGCTGGGCTGGGAAAGGGTGGAAGCCCTGCAGCCACACTTCAAAGTAACACCAGCTGATTGCCCTGCTTCTGCCCTGCATCTACGGAGGATCCCATGGAACTATTTTTTTTGGAAGAAAAGTGGGATGACTAACAAACTAGTAACGAACACTTATGCTCTCCTTTTTCTTGTTTCTTCTTCTTTTTCTAATGCATTGGATATTTAGCAGTAAGCATTGGTCAGCCTCTATTGGTGCACAGCTTGAGTGTGTTAAATAACTGGATGTTTAGTTGATGCCAGCCGGCTGCACTAAGGGAAGAAATTAGCTTCCAAAGGGCACAGATGTTTGCTATTGGCCTCACACTGTGTTGTTAGGTTGAGTTATTTATATGATTCACCAGAAAATCAAATGCAGGATTTATGGTAAAATTGTAATGTCCAAAATATTTTTTAAGTATTCAATAGAAATGAGATAAAGTAGTAGTAATAAAAATGAGTTTCAGATATTAAGATGATATAAGAATAAATTTAACCTGGAAAATATAATTAAGGAGTGGAAGAGACAAAAGAATATTGTATGGAACCAACTAATTCATTCAACCAGTGGTTATAGGGTTTATAGACAGGGTGTTGGTAATATACCATTCTCTCCTATTGTATATTCTATTTCAATAGCAGAAGTAGAATGCAAACATATGCCAGAAATCTATATGGAAAGAAGGTGGGCATTTGGCTTACCTCCAACCTATATGCAAAATAGGATCATAAAATAGGGACTTATGCTTAGTTTACTCCCCAATAAAGCCAGAGTCAAACTTAGACAAAACTGTAAAGCAGGAAACATTTCCCAGCCCTTCCCATTTGTCCCTCTTCATCCTTGTATAAACCTATGTGGGTAAGATAGATCTTGTACGAGAATTTAAGAGTGGTGAAGGAATTAAGCTTAGAACTAAGATTGGGTAGAACTCCACAGACTCCTGTAGCAGATGTGGAAACTTTCCTTGATTTCCTAACCCCAATGAAAAGAGTGGTGTTTAGCATTGGATTCTGTTATAACACATACCCTACATTTACTTTAATAATAGTAATAGTTTTTGAAAAACTATGTATGTAATGATGGTGGAATGTGATGATCATTATTATCCAAAGTATAGGTATGAAAACACGAATTGGTATGAATATACTATGTATGCAACCAGAGATAGGAAAAATTGTGCTATATATGTGTAGTAAGAACTAATGCATTCCTCTGTCATATATAAATTTAAGAAAAAACTATGTAGGTTAGAAATATTCCACCTTCTATGCTTCTATGTAGGAAGATGAGATAAGAGAGGCCACACACTGGCTAGGCTTATAGGTCCAGCCCCAATTTTTATATTGAAAGAGCACTTTATTTTTCACCTTTTAGGTTTGAGATACATACGGACATACAAACATATTTACTTATGTCTTTGCACTGGGGATTTGGTGCTGGGGATTGATTGTTGGGTCTTGTGCATACTAAGTAGGAGCTCTATCACTGAGCCACATCCCCAGTCCTATGAAAATACATTTTGACAAATTTCAGACTGGCTGAAGAAAGTTGGGGATTTTAAACTGCAACTAGTTTGATGTTGTTAAACTTAACTTTCAGAATAAGAAATCTGAATTTCTTGAAAAAAATACTCTATATAAACGTATTTATGAGAGAACAAATAAGTGGATGTTTTGTTATTTTTGTTGTTTTTTGGCTGGGGAGAGGGGTTACATATATCTCTTAGTAACACTTTTATTTTGAGGTTTAAAAATCAGGGCTAGGGGTTGCAGCTCAGTGGAAGAGCACTTTCCTGGCATGCACAAGGCCATTGTTTCAATTCCCAATGCTGCAAAAATAAATTAATTAAAATTCCCCCCCCCAAAAAAAATTAGGCCCATTCATAGGTGACTACAATTTAATATAATTCTTATATCTGAAAGGATTTCTACCACCTGATGTTAACATGTTATCTAGCCCAAAATAAATGTTTAGTAAATACTTGTTGAAGTAACTAGTTAATTTACTTGAAAGAATTTGTAGAATTTATATTTTTTTTGTGTGTTTTTAAGAAATGTTTGTAGGTTGCTGTTTCTGTCAATGGCAGAGTAATTTTGTCAGGCTAACTCCTATAGAGTTCAGAACAAAATGTTTTAAAAACAACCCTTCGAAGGTAACAATAGGCAGATAAACCAGAAGGCAGTTGACCCTTGAAAGAAGGGGACTGTATTTGTCTGTACATGTCTTGAAGACATTTCCAGTGCACAGTTCAGAGTATGCTAGAACTGAAGATGGAAGCTACCATCCTCCTGTTTTGAGGAATATGAGGACAGAGTTCAAGGCTTCTGAAGAGACTACAAAGTGAGGTGGACATTACAAAAAAAGTGAACCATAGAAAGAGAACTTCCAGGGCCACGTGTTGGTGTCATACACCGGTAATCCCAGTGGCTCAGGAGGCTGAGGAAGGAGGATTCCAAGTTTGAGGACAGCCTCAGCAACTAAGTAAGGTCCTAAGCAACTTATCAAGACTCTGTCTCAAAATAAAAAATAAAAAGGGGTTGGGGATGTGGCTCCATGGTTAAGCACCCTGAGTTCAATTTCTAGTACCGAAAAGAAAAAAGAAAGAAAGAGGACTTTGGCTAGTCTCAGAGTGATACATCTAGTGTTGCCGAGTCCTTGGCTAGTCCCTGAGTGATACATCTAGCTGGGAGACTCCGGAGTCTGGCAGAAAGCAAATAGCTAAATGACTGAAAGAACTGAGCAGTTTCCAGCCACTGCCCATCTTAGGAATTACAGTTTGATTCCTGCCAAATGAGTTCCCAGCTAGAACAAAAAATACACTTTCCAGGGGAAGGAAATAGAACCTAGAGACACCATATTGTTTACGATGTCCACAATAAGAAATTATAAGAATGGGAAGAACAAGAAAACAAGACCAGAGTTTTAAAAAAATAAATTAGAAAAAATGGTCAATATAAACTGACTTTTCAAAATGACTCAGACATTGAAGTCGTAGACATAGACTTTGCAGCTACTACAAATATGTTTAGTTAGGTTAAATACTTTCAGATAAATTACAATTGAAAGGATTTTTCAGCAGCAGATCTGCTACACAGAACTGCAAAAGGAATCTGTTTGGTCTAAAGAAAAATGACAGCAGATGGAAACACAATCTAAGCAAACTATAGGCATATGGGACCATATGGGACAAGACTGATGGAATAAGAGAGTCTTTTTTTTTTAAAACTAAATAGGGATAAAAATCATATAGGAGTTTCTTACACTACTATAACTTTTCTATAAGCTTGAAATTATTTTTTAAAAGTCATAGAAATAAAGAACTTATAAATAAATTTCTTAGTAAATCAGGTTTTATTTTTCATATCATACCAATCATCACCAAAACTGAAAAACTGCCAAGGTATCTATATTAGTACATTTTCTGTTGCTATAACAAACTACCTATGGCTTGGAACTTTATAAAGAAAATAAAGGTATATTTAGCTTATAGTTTCAGAGGCTGAAAGTCAAAGATAGGGCCATCCTATCAATTCAGCCAGTGGTAAGGATTCCTTGGGTACATCATGTCATGCAAAGAAAAGAGAAGAGTAGGATTTTGCTTGGTGTGTGTGTGTGTGTGTGTGTGTGTGTGTGTGTGAGAGAGAGAGAGAGAGAGAGAGAGAGAGAGAGAGAGAGACTGGGGTTTGATCCCAGGGCTGTGAGCATGATAGGTAAACACCCTACCACTGAACTATATCCCCACCCTTGAAAAGACTAATTCTATAGGCCATACATAGTCAAGTCTATTGTCTCACCTCTGCAAGACAGGAATATAGATGGGTGTTTAAAACAAAAACAAACCAAAAGAACACCATAACTGATCAACTTCCCTTTGTCTGGTGTTCAGGTTTTCCTTACTCATCTGTGTACCTTGAATACAGTAGGTGTTCAACAAGTAATTAAATCAGATTGAATCTATTGTTATTTATGTTATCCCAGAAAGCAGTCAGGCCTATGAAATACCTTCATTCTCAGTTTAAAAAAATTTTTTTTCAACCAAAAAAGAACAGCAGAGATTTTACCATTCTTGTGGCTCTCTGCTAACCATCCAGTATACTTTGAAAATGGTTAAAGCCCAATAATACATTATATTATTCTCCAAAAAGCAAAAGAGGGAGGATGGGGTTTTCCCCAAAAATATTTCAGAACACAATGTACCATGCATTTTTAAGGAGTTATAAATTTGTAAAAATGTGTAATTAGGCTGGAAGTGGTAAATGGTTTACCTAGCATATGTGAGCCCTGGGTTCAATCCCCAGCACTATGCACATGGGTGATCTCTCGCTCTTACACACACACACACACACACACACACACACACATTTTTAAAATGTTCTTTAAAAACTTTTTAGCAATGTTACAGAAAAATAAAAAAGCAAACAGAGTGAGTTATAATATTTGCCTTTCCAAATTAGTTTATACTACTATTTTAATTGATTTTCAAGATCTAAGGTCTTAAAACCAATGATAATGGCCAGCAGACTCAAAGTTATTTGAATTTCAAAAAGAAGGAACTAAAAGAGATGGCAGGGGCCTGACATGGTGGTGAATGCCTGTAATCCTAGCAACTCCAGAGGCTGAGGCAAGAGAATTTTTTGTCTTTAAGGCCAGCCCCAGTGAGGCCCTATCTCAAAAAATAAAAACCACCAGGAAGGACTGGGAAGTAGCTCAGTGGTAGAGTGTCCTTGAGATCAATCCCCAGGACTAAATAAATAAATAATTTAAAAAAGATTTTATAAAAAGATTGCAGGTAC